TGACTGTGCGCAAAGCGTCCCGGTCCAGAAAGGGGCGCAACTGGTAAATCAGGCGCACCTGATAAAACGCCCCCCTGGTCACGGCCGACAAATGATCTTCCAGTGTCAGCCGTGGATCCAGGAGGACTCCCAGATTGCGCACCCTCTCTGAGGGGGCCAAGGATTCGCCCCCTATAGACAGCGATGGAACCAACTGACTTATTAAATTTACACCCGTGTTGCAACCCTGGGCGACCTATAATTTTATTTGAAACGTAGAGTATAAAATGTAATAAAAAACATGACGCCCGGCATATACATTTATGCTGAAACACAGAATGTAAAATATAAGTAGAATAATGCACGATTATGATATAGGGTTTCCTGCCTGAGCAGGGGGTTGGACTAGATGACCTCCAAGGTCCCTTCCAACTTTATTATTATTATTATTATTATTATTATTATTATTATTATTATTATTATTATTATTATTATTATTAGCTTTCACGTTCCCACGGGCACCGGAGAGGGCGTTCCAATGGGTGGGCGGGCTGCTAAATCCCGAAGAAATGCACCACCGGGGGTGCTTTCACACGACCTGCAAACTCCCGTGTCCTGCATTCGCACAACCTGCGAGTTACACCGCGAGAAAGGCGTTTCTTTCCTGCTGGATCGAGGGAATGACCCTCCCAGGGGCCAGTTTTTCAATATTAGCCCCGATTCTGGGCTAATTGTGACCCAGGAAAGCTCACCCGCCAAGATCCGCTTTCATCGGCCATCGCTCCGGTGGAGGAACGACTCCCGTAGGGGCGGGGCTTCTGGCCGATCGTTCCCGCCCACCTTTGTCCCAATGGGCGGGGCAAAGCGCCAATGGGAACTTGACAGGGACCTAAGGGCTACAGTCAACAGCGCGCAGCCCTCTCTTCCGGTTCTCTTGTGCAATGGAAAAAGCGGATAGGCGGGTCAGGCTCGGAGGGGGGGGGACTCAGGGCTACAGTCCGTAGCGAGCACACACCGCTTCCGGTTCCCAGATGTAAAGGAAGAGTTCCTCCATGTGCGGGTTAAAATAAATAAATGGTGTTTAAAAGCTCCGTTTAAAACAATTCAAGGCAGGAATGCGAATCAATGTAATTTCTCCAGTCTGGTCGTTTTGGCCATGTGGGCTGGGCTTCCTGGGAATTGTGGTCGCACGATAGGGGGCTGGGAGGCTCACATTGGAATTTAAATTTTTTTAAAAAAATATTGAGTGCATTATTCACAATTCATACCCTAGTTCTCTTTAAAGCCAAGCAATTGGACCCGAATGTCATTTGGCTACTGGAAAGAGCAGTTTCTGAACCTGAAAACCCACAAAAATGAAACTTGAGGGAAAGTAGCAATTGTATTTGTTGATGTTGGCTGGGGAAGTGGGCTAGGAGACCTTGCCCTCTAGATCAGGGGTAGTCAACCTTGGCTCCTTTATGACTCGTGGACTTCAACTCCCAGAATTCCTGAGCCAGCTTGGCTCAGCTTGGAAACCTCTCTTTCCCCTCAGCGTGGCTGGCTCAGGAATTCTGGGAGTTGAAGTCCACGAGTCATAAAGGAGCCAAGATTGACTACCCCTGCTCTAGATCATCTGTCTTCCCCACCACCATCGCCACCAGTGGAATCACTCCTTTCTAGGAAGGCTAAGGCAGGCAGGCCCAAGGGTTAGAGCCAAGCGCTCCCAGATTGTTAGCAAGTCGCTCTTAGTTAACACTAATAATAATAATAATAATAATAATAATAATAATAATAATAATAATAAAAAAGTTGGAAGGGACCTTGGAGGTCATCTAGTACAACCCCCTGCTCAGGCAGGAAACCCTATACCATCTCAGCCAAATGGCTGTCCAGTCTCTTCTTGAAAACTTCCAGTGTTGGAGCATTCACTGCTTCTGGAGGCAGGTTGTTCCACTGGTTAATTGTTCTCACTGTCAGGAAGTTTCTCCTTGCTTCACATTCTTAAAATGAAATATACAAATAGGAGAAAATATCTGTAGCTCAGGCTTGATCTGTGGGGTCCCTGCTTGGTGGAGGTGTTTTTTTTTGCAGACATTACATTACCTAACTAGGTAACAACATCAGCGCTAGATAGGAGGAGGAGGAGGAGGAGGAGGAGGAGGAGGACTGTTGGGTCCTTGGGGCTCTCTGAACTTGGTTGTTTTCCTGCAGACATCTCTTTACCCAACTAGGTAACGTCATCAGTGCTCAAAGGGAGTGAGCTTTGCTCTCAAAACTGAAAAGTCTTCAGAAGCCAATTTTCATTTTCTGTTCAGATCATTAACGCGCTTGACACAGAAGCAGGAATACAAACACCCTTGCCAGAAATGCTAGTATATAGGATTATTTTATTGTCTTCCGACTGCAGAGTTCAGGGTTTCCTGCCTTTCTTGCGAAGGGACTGACCTTCTCCGGAGAACGCAATAAAGCGAGTACCAGCATCATCCTGAGAAAACAAAGGGTAGAGAGGTTATTTCGACCCTAATTATTTTCTGGAATTGCATTCACAAACAGGCCCTGCTTCCAAGGCTATTCGGAAGAATACTTTTCAAGCTTATTGAGCATCCAGATTTTTTTTTTTTAGTAGAGGGTGGGTGGGGAGGGGACACCAGGAAAGCTTGCACAAATCATTTCCGGGGATTTTGGCTCGCAAGCTACCTAGCACAACATTAGCACTAGATTTCCGTTCGTTTCAATTTTTTTTTTTTAAAAAAAGGCATTGAATTATTTATTCTTTCTTATGCCACGGATAAAGGCTGCCCTGAGTTTTAAGATGGGAGAGGCGTATGAATGCAATAAACAAACAAACAAGACATGTCATTGGGTTAAAAAAAAAACCCAGCAAACACTAAAAAATTCACCACGTTTTCTGATATATTTGTTTCTTTTTTCCCCCTCCTAATCTTTTCGATTTCTCTGGAAAAACGATATATATTGCTGATGTTTGGAACGTGATGCATAACAGACCGCAGTCACCAGCTGCAACTTCCCTGGCTGGTTTGGGCCTCGGAGAAAGGCGACCGCTTATTGAAGTTTACAATCTGAAATCTGGTTAAAAAAATAAAAATAAAGGTCCCTATCCAGCTTCACTCACCTCTTCAATTTTTTTGACCAGCGGCCGGGAATTTCTAATGAATGTGATCTTGCCAATTTTGAAGTCGTAATTTGGAATGCCCCTGCAAAGGGGAGGAGGGGGGGGGAAAAGTTAGCTGTTTAAAAAAGACAGGAAAAGGTTTAATCAAGTCGATTTTGCATTTGGGGACCTGTGTTCACAGGCTCCCTTTGTTCTATGACTGGCTATTTTAACATAGTGAAATTTTACTGTACTTTATAAAGACGCCACAAGTCAAAAGGATGCTGGCTTTCGCAAGCATTTCAAAAATCAACCCGTTAATCCACAAAGACGGTCGCTGGATTCTCACAAAACGCTACTCTAACCCCCACCTCACCTCATTTTAGTTTAGTTCAAACCCAGCCATGAGTTATTTCGGTTGAAGCAACTTTACAAAATCAGCCAGTGTGGTTATTTTAACGTTGTTGTTAGCTGCAAAGTCGTGTCCGACCCATCGTGACCCCATGGACAACGTTCCTCCAGGCCTTCCTGTCCTCTACCGTCTTCTGGAGTCCATTTAAGCTCACGCCTCCTGCTTCAGGGACTCCATCCAGCCACCTCCTTCTCTGTCGTCCCCTTCTTCTCTTGCCCTCCATCTTTCCCAGCATGAGGCTCTTCTCCAGTGAGTCCTTCCTTCTCATTAGGTGGCCAAAGTACTTGGGTTTCAACTTCAGGATCTGGCCTTCTAAAGAGCAGTCGGGGTTGATCTCCTCTAGGACTGACCGGTTGGATCGCCTTGCAGTCCAGGGGACTCGCAGGAGTCTTCTCCAGCACCAGAGTTCAAAGGCCTGCATTCTTTGTCGCTCAGCCTTTCTTGTGGTCCAACTTTCACAGCCATACCTTGCAACTGGGAAAACCATGGCCTTGACTATACGTACTTTTGTTGGCAGGGTGATGTCTCTGCTTTTTAGTATGCTATCTAGATTTGCCATAGCTTTCCTCCCCAGGAGCAAGCGTCTTTTAATTTCTTGGCTGCAGTCCCCATCTGCG